CAGGGACTAAATGGTCTCTATAAAACGATAATCAGGATCGCAAAAAAAAAAATCAACTGATTTGAAACACTTGCTGGACGTCTCTCTCTCTCTTCTGAAATCCGCCTCGGTGATCATGGGCTGGTCCGGAATCTATTTCTTTCAAAAGTGTTGCGCCAGGTTTACGTTGTCAACGTTTCTCTTTAAACCTAGTCGTTTTTTTATGGACGAGGACAGTTTTTCCCCCTCAAAAAAAGAATCTAAGTTTGAGTGATGTTGCACCTTCGGATCGATTAGAAACGTGTGAATACATACACTATGGCTATATGTTTCACTGCAACTGCCCACAACACAACATCTAAAAACTCTCTCTCTCAAAAAAAAAAAAAAATAGACAAAAAACAAGATAAAACGCCGACCGAAAAATGTATATCGTTTAAAAGTATACTGAACGACCAGTGTTATTACGGCTCAGGGGTATGACTTTCTCTCACATTTTGTCATTTGGTGGTGCACTTTCGGGGAGAGTCGGAAATCCGGAAACAGTCGACTGTTTCACGATAAGTGGGCGTGGCTACAACGCGAGAAATATCCCAAATTTACTTGGATAAGAGTAATCATTTTCAGCAAAAAAATCAATAACTACCCTTTTCAGTGGGACACAGATCTAAAATGGGAAACGTGAGGGTGGGCATTGCACAGGCACTTTAACTTGTTGGGGACTATGTAATGCAATTATTTGTGTAACCATCAAGTAATATGATTTACCTAACTCGATTTAACAAAAGTTTAACTTGATGATATTGTCATTGTGAACTTGTGTAGTATACACACTAGCTTAATTATTAGTCAATTTGTTGCAGATTCTGTGATGTATATCATACCACAACCAGATTACGGCATTTAACCAGACAAATTCTAGAATGCTGATTTGCCAATTAAATATAACTTTGGTACAAATTATCAATCGAGTTGAATTTGCTGTGCCTCTCACATACATGTATGTGTATTTGTTTGAATACAGGTTAAAACCATTGGATATTGAATTCATGAGAGCCCTCCATCATAAAGTGAATGTTGTTCCTGTCATTGCCAAGTCAGATACACTCACAAAGAAAGAAGTGTGGAAACTGAAGAATAAGGTAAACAAAATCACATAACTGTTGGTTTTCCTACCATCATCGCAAGAACTATTGGGTTTCAATGAAATTTAATATGTAGATGCTCTGGGAAAATGAACAGACCTGATTAGTTTATTAATTTCCTAGTTTATTATTTCTCTAATTAGCTTTTCCTCCCAATTGCTACGTTCACACGACAGCATTTTATCGGAGCCCTATGGCACGAGCCAGCAAAAATGGCCATGCATACGCGTTCGGCTCCAATAAACCCTCAGGGTTGAACTCCGATAGGGTTGAGCCCCGACATGGCCCTGACCGTGTATACGCAGGGCCCAACTATTGGAGCCCAAATCACGCCCTCAATCATCTTCTTCAACTTGAAGTAACCTCTCATTTCAATTATGGTGGAGACAATATCGGTCGTAACTTCACGCAATTTCCGATTTGACGAAGAGGTATACACCCTAATATCTATTTGGCAGAGTAAGGAAATACTGCGATAGATTGACAGGTCAATGGGAAACAGAAAAATGGCGACTGAAATTATATGCGACAAAAACTTGAAAGGACTGAACAGATCCAATGAAAATTGAAGATACTTTTTAAAGACACCAGAGATAGAAATTGTAGAAGCTGTCACGGTAAGGTGACATGTTCCTAGAAGGTTTAGATTGACAACTGTAACACATATCACAGCAGTTGAACAATGACAATAACTTTTAGCGAATAGACTGTAACACATTTCAGCTGCCGTGTTTCCTGTTTATTCGAGATACTACATGTTGTATTACCTAAATCATAACACCAGTTCATTGTCTTTTCTACCCCAATGCTCAGACTCGATCGTGAGTTTTTTTTGTTTTTTTATCCCAGATCAACAAAATCGTGCCATGTAAAGAAACAACACAAGCCTAACACCAATATTGTTTTCAGCCATGTTTTTTTTCACACTAATTATTCGAGGGCACTGTTCCGTTCCGCTCTGTTCTGACCGAACTGAATCGAACTATGGCAGATGTCGGCTCTCGTTTGACCCGACTATATGAATGCATTGGAGATAATCTCCTGGTAATCGATGGGAGGAGCAGTAGTTCGGCTTCGGTAGAATGCTGCCGTGTGAACATAGCAATTATCTCAAGAACCACTCATCAGATTTTAATTAAATATGGTACATAGGTGCCCTGGGATAATCCATGATATATGTGTTTAGTTTTGTGTTAAATTTTGGCTTACGCATTACCTAATTTGCATGAATTAACCAATTAATCCACACATATTAATCACCTACTTTGTATTAATCTGGTCATGTGCTCTATTAGAAGCATGTGCACCTAAATGTATATGATAAGGCAAGTCTATATTCAAAATATGACATATTTCAATAATTTTACATTCAATAGATACAATTTTGGTTTGATGCGAATTAGAGATGTGCTTCTTATATAGTTAATTCAGTATTCCTTATTTATCTATGCCTTCTTTTATTTACTTTAACCCTATCTTGTGGAGTCAATGTAAAAGTACATGGGGCTGTTAGAATAAGGGTCAACTATTCTGACCTGCAGTAGAAATCTTAAATAGGTGTTTGTGACGCTAGATAACCAAAGTAATTCCTGTTGCATCTATATAGATTGTAGGTGAAATAGAGGAGAATGGAATTTCCATGTACAGAATACCAGACTGTGATTCTGATGAAGATGAAGATTTTAAAGAACAAAACAAACAAATAAAGGTATGTCTAGCCCTGGTATAAGCTTTCTTTGATTTTACATCAGAGTTCTATTTAGGTGGGGTATTGGAATGTCATACAACAAAACTGTCATTTTGTGTATTGCATGAAAATAAGCAATACTTGCATACCAGTGTTCTCCCCAGGATTATGGTCATTAATGTTTTAATCATTAGTACTTTCATAACAAGTTTTATTTTCAACATTGGAATCAGCATTTCTTCAAAAGATTTTTGTTTTCAAATTAGACATCGGGCGTGGTGTGATCGGTAAGGTAGTGTATGGTACAGACTGCTTAAATTTATGATGTTTTACCGATTCCAATAAACCAGTTACAATGGAAAAGCAAGTTGAACATTTTTTTTTTTCATTTACGATTACAATAATCTTTTCTTCAAACGTTTTATTTTTGGCGTTGGCTGTGGTGAATTACGTAACCAAAACTTTCAATGAGTACATGCCGACCCAATAAACTTAGCAGCCCTTTGACTTCCATTAGTTATTGTTTAAGACTGTTTATGAACAGCGAGGAGGCATCTCTTAGAACAATAGCTGTGGAAATCATAGACAAAAATAAAGGTACGGATATCAAGCATTGTGGTAATGATTTTGAATGCGAGGGTGTCTGTCAAGCAGTCTCTCAGAAGAGTATGGAGCGGAGCAATGCCACACTGATTGTATCCTGGGCAGAACACTGCATACTTGTGCTTTATTTTTATGACACTCACTTTGAACATGGAGGTAGAAAAGAGAAGGAGTGAGGACATTATTGTTTCCACTGGTTTCATGATGCTTTGGATTTGTTTACTCAGTACACATTGTATTTAGTTTACAAACACGCTGTACAATGTCACAGTTAATCGGCTTACGCGTTTCGGCTGTATTCGGAAGCTTCACAAAGATTTTCAACGCACTGCGCATGCTCAAACAGATAACAATAATACAAAATGCAGTGAAAGACGTACGTTGAGTGTACTCAACGCCCGAAATCTATTACAACAAAATTCACGATTTTCAACATCTGCACAGTTCTGCACACCAATGAAAAATGACTCATCAAAACATCTTGTTATAATCTTATCATGTATCCTTAAATTTCACTGCGGAAATTTGCGGAATTTTTTTAATCAATGTCTAAAGTTGGACGACTATTGCAATAAAAAATATCAGAAAAGATGAAATCACACATCTTGGTAGCGTTCGTATGCAGAATTCCCGGTACCTGCATGTGTGAAACTACCTTTGTGATCCGATAAAGGTCACTGCGCATGCACAATTCTTTTATTTATGGTTTGCGCATTCAATTTTATAGACTATGTTTAAACAGAATTTTTTTTTTTTCAGTTCTACTCTCGTTTTCTTGTGTAAATAAGCGGCTATCATCATGTAGATAAAACCATTTCTAAACAAAAACAATAAGTGGCTTAACCATGTTAACCTTATAAACATGGACTTAAATAGCATCCTCACTCCTTCACTTTTCTACCTCCATGCTTTGAAGTAACATTTATTTATTGCCTAATACTGTTGTGTTTTCTTTGTCTTTGCAGGAGAGCATGCCATTTGCTATTTGTGGATCAAGCCAATTAATTGAAGTTAAAGGTCGAAAGGTCAGGGGTCGTTTATACCCATGGGGTGTTGTGGAAGGTGAGAATAAAATTATTTAAGGAATAACTATCCCTGAAGGGATTATATAGCTCAGGTTTCTATGGAGTGAACTGTTCACTCAATTCTGAAGGTGGTTATTCTTAAAACATGGTGACTTATGGCCTAATAAATGGAGGCACACTGTTAATTTTCAAAAATTGTGATACCACATAACTTCAAATTGTTTTCTTGTACTCTTGACATATGAATGGTGATTGCTAATTGAATAATAAAACAAATTATTATACATCTGTCACTGTAAAGCCGTAAGTTACAGTGTGCTTTAATTTTCTGGTATTGCACTGGGTATTTGCATCCTACCATGTTAGGAAATGCGAATTCCAAATATGGATCGATTATGCACGTAAGCATCCTCTAACATGGCAGCCCCCAGGATTTGATCGAACCCCACACAAAGAAGTTCGCTAAATCTGTTCGGGAGTTTTTGAATTTTGGCTTGCCCATGATGTATAATAATAAGGTTTATACGAGAATACCTCAAAGTATGCACTCGCGGTACAGTACGTGGTCACATCAACCTCTGCTGTGTGTCGATGTATACTTCCGCTTGTCTTCATGCATATTTTATTAGTAATCAACATTCTTGTTTTAATTCTCACAATTTTGTTTCCACAGTTGAAAATCCTGATCACTGTGACTTTATTAAACTGCGAAGTATGTTAATGTAAGTATTTTGATTAAACCGAAGACATAAGAGCACACAGGGACAGGCAACTGTGGTATCTCATGGCGTTTGAACGCAATATAGAATGCTGGACATGTGAGATTACATTTGAATATTCCTAGTCAGGTTAATCCTACACATACAACATCCAAGAAAAATGTAAATTATTGTCTTTCAATGGATGAACTTGAAAGCATTTGATTCATCATGTTTATGTAATGGTTTTGAGTTGACAGTTGTACAAAACTTTTTCACTCAAGAACAAGTCTACCTGCTAGTACAAATAGTAGCCTCTAAACTAGTGTGTTGTACATGTATTTGATACTGCATGTTGTCAAAAGTAGGTTACATAAACAGACAGATGCTTGCATATTACAACATGGCCACTGAAAAACATGTTATTCTCTCACAGTATGGGCATCTCTGTATTTTCTTGTGTCTTTGGTTCAACATTTTCTAGTCTGTTTGGTGTTCTTTTTGCTAAGTGGATTAGTAATATTTGAATTGAGCTATGAGAACATCTATGATTGACTTTATACTTGTAAATATTAATGTGTGTTTGCTTCACAGAACACATATGCAAGACTTACAGGAAGTAACACAGGATGTACATTATGAAAATTTCCGATCGGAAAAATTGGCTCGAAGTGGTGGCAGCAAGTCCCGTCCACCGTAAGTTGCTGACTATGATGCATTTTGTCGGTTTGTGCGAGTTTTAGTGCAAATTTCGCACATTTTTATGTATTTTTCAATAATTCATTGTCAATTTGGGATCACATGCGTTTCCTATTTGTGGATATATCGTATGAAAGTGACATGCATTCATAGATTCAAAACCAAGAATTCAAGTTTTGTATAGGAACTACTTTCCTCCAAACGCACAATTATTAGATATTGTCAATTTTGTGACATTATACTGTTATGTGTTGATGATCAAAACAATTCTAATGTGTGGCTTATCTTGCAGAGTGAAATTGAAACGAGAGGAAAGTTTAGAAACCAAGATGACAGAAAAAGACAAGATATTGCAAGAGAAAGAAGTTGAGGTGAGTTTGTTTGCAGTGTTTCTATTGCCATGGCAACATGTGGCAGTTTCTCTGCTGTCATGAAAACATGTGGCAGTTTATCGGCAGCATCTTGTGGTAGTTTATCTGCTGCCACGGCAACATCATGTGGCAGTTTCTCTGCTGCCACAGCAACACCTTGTGGCAGTTTCTCTGCTGCCATGGCAACATCATGCGGCAGTTTCTCTGCTGTCACCACAGTCTACTCAGTGCAGTTTTTTGTTAGGGGTGGTATTTTATGAGTTGTAAACTGACCACATAATTTGACATATACATGTATGTGCCTTGCTGTAATGATTGTATATTTTGTTACTTTAGCTGAGGCGTATGCAGGAGATGTTAGCTAAGATGCAGCAACAGATGGCTCAACAAGGCGGCTCTACTGTCAAAACACAGAACCTATAAATAAACTTTAACAATGGTAAGTAAGAAGCTGTTTGAAGAGTTTCCAACCCTCTTTATAGATAAATTACTCATGGTAACATTAGTGTTCTATACAGATAGTTCGCATATAACACATGATTTTTTATAAATAAAAATAATTTAAAATAAAAAGTCCTTTCAGCCTTTCATCCCGGTGTTACACTTAGAAGGTTGACTCTGATTCTCTTTCCTTCATTCATCAAGTTCCACACAAACCACTTTGTTTCAATTACAATATCGTTTTGTATTTGCAGGAATCCGAGAGCATATTTACTGTTACTTGAATGTATATATGAAAATGAAATGACTAGAAAGACGAAAGTTCCATTCCACAGATGGTGAATCAGAAAAAGGCGCTACATAACATTGCCATACTATTCCTTGTTTTGTTTTTGAAATATATTTTTTATTGATTTTCAATACTATACTTAGATTTACTTTATATAAATTCTTAAATTTTCATATTGTCTAGATTTACTGATTATTAATAATTTCATCACTGTTTAAACCATTCATAGAAAGTGGTAAATGATGATTCTTGGTAGTTAGTGATTATAATCAGACATATCTGAATAGGTTTTAGAATTAATCTATTCATATATACTATTGATTATGATCATGCCCAAGACATCTGCTAATGTTGAATAATTACCAAGGTCTTACCACTTACCATTTATTTTATATATCGGTCCTAGCATCTATCCCATCCCATCTACAAAATACATAATTTACAGCATTTTATATGTTTCCATCAATTTCAGACTTTTTTTGTTGGAGGTGGGATATTAAAACAAAGTTGGGGAAAGCATTTATAATAGTTGTTTAAATACTTAGAATATTGCATGTAGATAGATTGCATCTTGTTAAACATTGTTTTGATAGTTATGCAATTATAAATCAGATTTTTTTCCCACCAATTGTTTAAAGTTGTTGATGTATGGATATGCTTTACAATGATCAATCGATCATAGATGCACATTACTGTCGAGATTTGTTGAGAAAGAAAAAATGTTTGCTCCTCAAACAGTTTTCCACTTTTACTGTCGCCACTTTCACTGTTTCCCTAATTTCATGTAACGAGTATTTAGAACAATAAACAGGAGATAATAGAACATGATTCAAGGGGCAAAGACGGGTCTCGTGGCTCTCTAGTCGTCAGTAAGATGTTGACAGTCAGTTGTATCTAAGATCTGTTTACATCATGCTTGGGTCACAATAAAAAACAGAATAGTGTTCATGTGTCGTTTCTGCTGTTAAACAGACTCTTTTAAAAGCACATTGCGGTACAAATACGGTATATGTGCTGGCAATCATGTTTTTCAGTCATGACTATTGATAAATTACTATTGATAAACAGAGAAGAAGTATGTCTGTAATTACAAATAAATTGGGCAGATTTTTACACAATGTTCTATGTTTCTACTTATACCCATTCATTTTCAGAAATTGTTGTAAATCGTATGCTAGTATCTGCGTAGATGTGTGTTATATTTCTAGTGTACTCTGAAATAAGTGTTGACAGCATTAATAGGAGTACCATGAGTACTAGTGGATTCTTAGTGTTCACCACACAATATTCAGTATTAGGGGACATTGTACGTTTACAATTACTGGTACAATAGATATTCATGCAGATACCTATTCTAATAAATGCCATTTACTCATTTATTACTTAACAAATATGCACAATATATTATCCAAACTATGCAGAATGTGCATTTATGGTTGTGGATGTTTTTATTCCTAAATAAAAAAGTATTGATAGAGGTTAGTCTGCTCATTTTACCCAGTTATAAGGTTCTGAACAGTGAGTTCCTTTAAATTAAATAGTGTGATAATATATTAGTGGTTGGTTGATTGATTGGCATGCTTAGTTATTTAGTTTAACTGTTGTACACAATATGAACTGTTAAATTCGATTGAAGGGTGTATGCAAAGACTCAATTTCAGGAAATCAGCGACTCCCTACTTTAATTTACAGAACCCATGTTTTTTTTACTGATACAAAATTTCTCATGGATTACACTGAAAATTAGTCATTGTAGTTTAAAGTACACAAAGAATGATGATTTGTAATTTCTATGAGGTCATATAAACTATTAAATGCCAAATAAATTTTTTAGTAACCTAAGCAACCGTGCATTATTTTACTGCCTTACTAAAAATTTATCACTAGAAGGCGCTCACTGTTTGCACACTGTAAACCAATTCAGTCAAATATAGGAACCAGAATCAACTGCAAAGAGTATGTAGATGATCCTTGTAGTACAAATCTGTTAAAATTTCAAATCTGCCGGACAAGCACTCATTTTAGCAAAGGCAAATTTTCACTTGAAGATCTTAAAAAATATATGTTGAACTGTAAACCACAGTACCTCTATCGTTACAATCTAGCGCCATAATTGGCCTAACGAATTTATAGTTGCAAGATACAGATACAGAGTCTGCCCTCTATGGAGAAATGCGTAAATGTCATCTTGGGTCATAATTTTCATTTGTTTCTTTGTTTGAACCACAGTCTTGAGGGACTGTGTTTGAACCATGGACGTCCATGCTTACTCTGAGTCAAGTATGAACATTCTTAGCCGATAGTGATTTATTCGCTTGTGGATTAATACAATGACTCGCCATCCAAGAATATAGCCACCCCAAGACTGCACACTGTAAAGTGTGAGGGTAAAGGTATGCTAAAAAACTTCTTGTCACTAGTACCACTTTTGTCATGTAACCCATTCTGAATGCATGTTTATTTCTGTAAATCTACATGCGTTTTTTTGTCTTTATGCTAAGCGTAAACTATCTACATATTCATATATGCAAAGTGTACATGCTACAGATAACGATGACATATTTTGTAAACCACGGAGCAGCTTTAGTCATTTCAATTTCAAAACTTAAGAACTGATCCCAGTACCGATGACGTTCTAGTCAACTACCCTAAAGCTCAGCTTATAAAAGTGTAGGTCAAGTTTCTCCAGACACAGAATATTACTCGCACTTCATTGAAACACTGTGGTGTTAGTTTCCGTTTTGGACTAAGTCCGAACTCGGGGACTAATAATTTGGGATTCGTCTGTGCCTCTGGAGCCATTTCTCAGACATTCAGTGACCAAGCTCGTTCAAACTTAACATAACTAATTAAATTGAATTAAATATGCACGTCAATGTTTAGCTCCGCTGTCGACTTTGTCAAGTGAAGCTTATCATATAAGTGATTGTCCATCGACGTCTGTATTTACTTTTTCGACTTCTTCTTGAAAACTAAAGGTAGACTTCTCTGAATTCTGTAATTTTGTTGAATATTATTTTACATTTTTGGTAAAAAGTGTTATTTTCGACTTCTTGTTGAACATTGGAGATTTAATAGATTTAACAACCAATTGAAGTAATTGTATAACTATTGAAGTAACAACCCAGTCCCAATGTATCTGGTATTCGGGGATAACTGTCCTGTCTGATATTGCAATGTATCGAGCACTATTTTTATAGATTTTTTTTTAAATTAATCACATCTTATGCACCGAAAATGTCTCATATTAACTGCCGTTGATTTACAGATACCACAAAGCAAAATGACGGCAATGCATCTAATTCTGAACAGATTACTTAACAAATCAAAACCATTTTCATTGTTTCACAGAAAAGGTGAACATTCTATCAGTCTTCTAAGTGTAGAACTCCTTGACCAACTTTTCTTGAGTTTACTGCATATACTTTTATTCCTAATTGGTCTTAGGCATGTATTTAGAACACCGCAATGATCGCTGGGTATTTTGTGGATCGTTATACCAATGGAGACAATGTCCAACGCGTGTGCACATTTATATCAACACAGTTAGTAGTACGTGATTGGTCAATTCAAAACCAAGATGTTACTGTCGTATTATAAGCCAGAACATTGCCAGTAATGCAAGACAATGTTCTGCTGATCTACAGCCGCTTGGATGTCTGTTTTGATTGGTTCATGTCAACGACAGACAATTGTACACCAGTTGTTAGTGTTATTAGCCAATGACTATCAACATTCCGAACCACTGAGCCCAAATGTTTCATGCAATTCCGAACGTTCTAAACTCGCTCCGCACAAGACCCACGAGAAACCTAAAACTTTCTATTGATATATGATGTGTCACAATGAATAGTAGAAGGGAATATCATTAGAAATGAGACATGTATAATAGTATAAAGCAGAAAAGTCATTTATTAAAAATACTTTAATATATTTTGATTTAGATTTATGCGTACAGCACAGTATTGGCATTTTTCATCTTACTCAATAAATACAATTACACATATAAATACATTTCTTGTAAAAATGTTAAACTTTTTAAATAAATAAGCAGGCAGCAGTGAATTATTTTGCTTTACAAACGCTTATGTAAATTATATAAGCCAGGGATATTTATGGTGTTTTTTACACCAACGTCGAACACTGAAACTATGATACAACATTACTATTATTTATACAGGAATCAAAGATTGTCGTCGTCATTATATTCCTTCGTATAAATTCCATAAATATACATGTAAAAAAGTTCAATTGTTGGTGAGATGTTTCTCAAACACAGGATGAACATTGTTTTGACAGACAGAAAGAACAATTACTGATAAACTAACTACTTGACTGTTATAATGAACTGTTAAACAGTTTGCAAAGTATTATACATATTTAGATTAACATCAGATAATGCGGTCATTATTGCAATTCCCCGTGTTATTTTAATCACAACAAATTCTGGGAAAGTTAAAATAAAATAAATGTTTCCTTTGCCGTGCTTGGTGATTAGCGAGGCAACACAAGTGAAATTACAAATATTGTCATCAAATCACAATGAATAGCGCTAGTTTCAGGTATTTCAGCTACAGGTCGTCGTGCAGCGCGTGTTCGTATTTCATGTAAACAATCAAGGTATTTTACACTCGTTGTATACGCCGCATATCGAACAGGACGCGGCGCGACATCCTTTAACAAAGTTAGCAGTGAATTTAAAAATCGTGGAAATAATAATACTACACAATCCCCTTCACCATGTGACTTTTCTGAATGTTATATAAACGAATCATATTCTAATAGTACCATTGACAATATTCGAATACATAGTTGTCGTGAGCGGTGAGTAGGTGTCTGCACGGCTGTCCATGAAGTACATAGGATCTGGTATTAGATTGGGGTCAAATCCTTCCTGTAACAAATTGGTCTTTTTCTGTTTAAATGTACTTGTATGAGGTAATGCTGTCACCACGCGTAGGAATCTCGGGCAGGCATAGTTGGGTAAACGGTGTGTAATCAGTCTGTAGAGTGCGCTGTAGTCAATCACGTGACGATCAGAGTGACATATTGCTGCCATCCCAGCTTTCCCGTAATGTCCTGGAACAAAAATGTCAAAAATATCATTAGGTGCTTATTATGAAATGACCGTTCTATCGACCCCAATGAGATTAGTACAATACACATATATAGTTTATACCAGGATGTCCGCAACATATACACTAGTATGCATATATCGGGCATAAATAGACTCGGACTTACGTACATAAGTCACGCCTCCTAGTGAATATGGGTTTCGGTGATGTAAATAGATATACATGTATATATAACATTTTGTTTTGATCTGTGGTCACTCATCAATAATAACCCCTTTTTTAGGGATCACCAAATGTCAAACGACTACACAAAAAGAACAGTACTGTCTATTTCACGATATTGACATTATTGCTACATTATAGTACTTCCCATGGCAGATAGTCACATAGTTCTGTTTAGTCTAATCTTTCCAATGCCAACTCAATGACAGTCACCCAATGACATCACGAAACTTTGAGCAATAAAAGTGCGAACGGAAAATATAATAAAGTTAACTACAGCTTTGTTCCTGTCGAATGCCATTTGCACAATATACAGTTCCGAGTTAAGCGAATTACGTCATTGGTTAAAACATAGTGTAAGGATGTTTTAAATTTTGCTTTTTTAGCGAATCTTTTTAATTTCATTTATTTCATTTAAAAAAAAAGTCTAACATTGCCATCTATGAAGTGTTTACGTCACAGAATAGCTTCGTTGATAGAGCACGGCAGCACCCGTCACAACAGACAAACAGAGACATTGCAACATACGCATGGATCCTTGGTTAGAATCATGAACACGTGGTCCATGAACAGTCATTTGCAAAATACAATGTACAAATGTTTACTCGGTACTGTTCGTCGACGTCTTTCATCAACGTTTTTCAATTGTGTCATTAATTCTACAAACTTTCGTTGAGACAAGTGAATGGCTGTGACCTCTGTTACCAGTTTGTTTTCACAAGTAATACATGGAATTCCCGTAAAATCAATTGCAGTAAATATCCGCACACCAGCTCAAAGAATCGAACATCATACATTTGGGCGAAATCAAATACTGTACGCCGTCACCAAATTTCCGATATACAGGTGTCTCAAACACCATATTTTAATGGACTAAACACATTTTCAACAATCAAAATAATTTAATCTAACCTTTGACCTGGATCCTATTCATCCTAAGAAAACTAGAAAACTTTCAGAAGGAACTTTGTTCAATTTACCGGAACCAATTATTGTTAACCGGGGACAGAGAGCTGATTAGTCTTATATCTGCTTAAATGTATTCATTTTCACACTCACCGGTAACAGTAACTCCATACACGCACGCTTCTTCGATTCCAGGGAATTCACTGAAAACTTGGGAGACTTCAGTTGTTGCTACATTCTCCCCTTTCCACCTGAAAGAAATATATATATATATTTATATATTATAGACAGTCTAGTCTAAATGCCGTCTATTATCGTGAGACGTTGAAAAATCTACGGGTCAGTCTGCGCATGCGAGTTCCCATATTGTACTGAAGTCATGGAGACAGTGAATTCTGTGTCACCTACGTATTACATAACGATTCACCAGGCTATATTCTCCATTATGATACGGTGATCTTTGATGTGTCCAAAACACACAATCTCGTCATTCCAACACAAAGTATTGTCGTATTGATCTAGCTATAGAGACAGTAACAGCACCCGTTCCATATCGACTAATCCAATAGAATAATTTGTTGTGACAGCCAATTGATAACATGCATATCACTAACTTTACCTGAATGTGTCTCCCAATCGATCTTTAAAGTAGAAGAAGTGTTCATTATCTTGTACAAATAAGTCGCCAGTATTATAGTATAGATCACCTTCCACAAACACGTTATTCAATATTTTCTTTTGCATTAAATCTTTATTGCCGACATAACCTTCTAATGGGAACATCTTAGTGACTGGACAAATGAGTAAACCTACCTCACCTAAAGAGGTAAACAGAAACCAGGTCGATTAGTGATTTACTGATATGTCAAATTAGCGTTACTTGAAAGTCGTTAGACCCCTGCAAATGATATCAGTATATGCGCGGATTCGCAGAATAATTGACGACGTCATAACACCAGAAATAATTTGCGCGTATAAGACCACGTGACCTACTAACCCCCAAGTATATGTTATAATTTATTGCGCGTATGATCAGACAACAAACTACGTCATAGGGGTTAACTACGTCATAGGGGTTAACTACTGTAATACATTTCTGTTACACACAAAAGTTCGAATAATACCACATTACTGACATTACAACTTCCAAACTCATAATCAGTAACATTACAAGATTATGCAAACACAAATAAAAAATGTTGACGTTCAAACGTACCTGTTTTCACTTTAATGCACCTGCCGTTTTCATCTCGCTCGGGTTGAGCTGTTTCATACTCGTACTTAACTAACTCGATTGGACACAGAATCTGTTAGAATAAGAAAACAAGAATGTAATTACTGGAATGGCGGTGTTATGCCCGCATCGACCAAGTAGTCTAACTTATTAACATACACAGGTATAAGATGCTGAAATATTTCAACAATAAGATGCAGGAGTTACTTGAAAGATGATTTCACCAGAAGTACATCTTTTACGAAGTTATTTATTTGTATAAGATATCAACGCTACATTTTCTGCCTTACCCTGAGTAGTGTTGACCAACATCCAGTCGACCCCAGTTTGTTATCAACATTCATCATGCCAAAGTTTCCCTCAGTGGCACCATACGTCTCTACTATCTGTGGGATACTGTATCTCTCTTTGACCTCATTCCATATATCTGCGCCAAGGCCATTGCCAACTGCAAGGCGTACTTTGTTATCTGTATCGTTTGGTTGCTGCACGCAAAGATTATGATAAGTTATTTGACTTCAACAAATAAGTATGTCGTACTTCAGAATGAATATTGGTGGGTCATTATAACCTTCAACGACTTTCACATAGTGAGTTGTTTGTTGTTGAATGTTACGCGGTGAACATCGCCATGAATCATGAGTTGAGTATGCGAGTATTATAGGATTTACACGTAAAAACCATTTACCAATAATATAAAGTAACTGATCATTTCTATGCGATTGTAACCAATCTGATTAAAATCTAATGTTGCGTTTTAATTGTTGCCAACGGTGTACATCTAACTAAATCTCGTTGGACCATCAGCAAATAAGAACTCGTGTTACATGTCGCTTTCTAGTTAGGCGCGCTTCAATTGGCTGGGAAAATCATTCAGAGACGAGCTGCCTGAAAGCGGTTTTTCATTTCGTCGATGTACTTTGATTTTGACTTTGGAGGCAACTGGAAATAGAATCAAATGGGGCCGACATCCCGGATTGTAATCAGATGCGACTGACAAAGATGTATTTCTCGCATAACCATACGTTTATGATAATCAATATAAAATTCAGACAACCATCTGACATTTCGGTGAATTGAGTATATCACATATGGTTTTGAAAAACAGTTACCTTTGGCCTTGCTAGTAGATAACGAAATAGCTCTCCTATATATATGATAACAGTGACGTTGTGTTGACGACAGTCGTCCCAAAAATTGGTTGCAGAAAATTTATTTCTGAGGACAACAGTGGAACCTGAATATATATGAAATGCAAAATATTTAAAAAATGACGATTCACGTGATTGAACAGTTACAACTGTACCCGATAACTGCGCAGTAGCATGATACGTGTACTTACCAGCAGTTATTGCGTTGGCGAGACCTATGAAGAGCGCCGAAATATGATACAGAGGCATTGTCAAATAGATAACATCTTGTGAACTTAGTTGAAAGTAAGATAATATATGTCCTCCAGCTAATAGTTTATAGTGAGATAAACGAGCTGCTTTTGGAAGACCTGCCAATGGATTGATATAATATGTGTTAATTCTACTACGAATGTTGGTACATTTATTTGTGTGTCTCTTTCCCTCTAGAAAATGATACGCTGGTGTAATAAGTTGCGACCGGCAATTAGACAAATAAGAATCTCATAGTCTCGCGTGCGAAACTGATATGAAAATGTTAACTTGAAACTGGGTAACGCGAAATGTGGACTAGTCGATTTTATCTTTCTACCTACCTGTAGTACCGGAAGTATATATGTAAGCTGCAGAGTCTTGAAATGTGACACCAGATCGATATTGCAAAGACGGCGTTTCATCACTGGCGATGTTCATCTTGTCATTCATGGATAGGAACCCAGATGAAATATTGTTACCGTTAGTACCGTACACCCACACACTAACTCCATCAGCACGAAGCTCATGTTCAATGTCTGTAACGGCTTGCAAAAGTTGATGATCTGTCAATGAAAATAATATAATGGTTTTTGCATTGTCGATGTCTTACGTTGGTCACATTTGAAAACTTGACAATGCAGACCATCGCAATGGCAGTCATGCCCGACTCATCATATATAGGTATATCTACCAGCACGTATCCTAGCTGCGTCGTCACCAGCGTCACACAAAAGGACGTTGCTCTTTCGCAGCCAACATAACAAACGAAGTCAAGGTTTGGTCACCCTCTACAGCATAGTAATAATAACAAATATAGCTGCGTTGCAGCAATGTCGGGTTTCGAGCCCACTGCCATATTAGCAGTGTTCCAAAATCAGCATCATTGACAATAATATATTAATGGAAATTGCATGGCCTTCATACTAAACATGTTACATGTTCCTGTCTGTAACAGTGCTTAAGGTATTACAATCTTGCATATTTAATAATGTCCCATGACCATATACGGTCATCGGATGTTTGTTTCAGCTCTGTTGTGCAATAACTTCAATATTGCATT